CTCCTGTGTGTTGGGATTAGAGGAATGAGCAACTATACTCAATTATTTCCTCTCTTGTCTGGTCACCCGAATTGTTCTAAGCAGGCTATGCCATCAGTGATTATGATTGCTCCAGGGTAATGCTCCTTGAGGCTTGGTGGCAGTGAAGACATGAATTCTTACTTTACCTTAAAAAAAAAAAAAGCCAGGCATGGGGGCACATCCTTGTAATCCTAGTCTTTAGGAGGCAGAGCTCGATCTATTTAGGTTATATAGTGAGAGTTGTTTTTTTTTTAAACAAAAACAAACAAAACCGACAACAACAAAACCCACATTATTTCATTTTTATTCATTAATGAGAACTTAGCCAAATGACCACACCCAGCTGCAAGAGATAGAATCTTTATTTGGCACCGTGAAATATTGGGGCTGATGTCACTACGGAAGCATGGAAAAGGCTTTGGGGCTGTAGCTCACTTGGCAGAGTGCTGGCTTAGCATGCACAAGGCCCTGGGTTCAGTCCCTGATTTGGTTGGTGATTGACTGTAATCCCAGAAGTTCAGAGATGGGGGAATGGGAGTGTGGAGGCGAGAATATCAAGGTTATCCTCAGCTGCACAGGCAGTTTGAGGTGAGGCCAGCCTTGTGTATATGAGACCATGTCAAAAATCAATCAATCAATCAATCAATCAATCAATCAATCAAAAAGCACCTGAGAATAATGGTAGATTGATGCTCCTTGTTGAAAAACTTCCATCGACATCCACGGAATTAACACATTTTTCATCCTGACGTTTTTGGCCTGTCAACATCAGGCTTCATCTGGCCCTCTTGCCTTGTGCCTCTGGACATGTGTTGTGGGCCCTGCATCATAAAAGTCACTGTTTTTAGAAGCCTGGTAGCTCTTGTATCTCTTTGAAGAAGTCTATTAGAAAGTTTCTTTGGACAGTGTTCAATGGCAGTACTCGGAAAACTGGATATCCGTATGCAGTGACTAGAATTAGACCTGCCCCACACACTGCAGAAATCTATCAAAATGAACTAAGGTTTTAAATGTAAATCTGAAATTGTAAAACTGCCAGAAGAGAGTTGGAAAGATCATTGATATATTTCTGGGAAATGTCTTTTTTTTTTTTAAAAAAAAATATGCTCTCCAAAATCACAGGCAAAGCAATAACAAAACTTGACCATTAAAATTACTTCAAGCAAAAAAAAAAAAAACTACAGTGCAAAGGAGACTATCAACACAGCCAAGAAGCCACCTCTGAAATGGGAGGATGTGCTCCGTCTAGCTTTCTGTCTACTCGACAGAGTCCTTTGGGAATAAGAAGGAACTTCAGCTGAGTGAATGGGCCACTTTCCTGACCGGTGGGCAAGCCTGTGCTTTATTTCCTTGATTAACGGTTGGTGTGAGATGGCCCGGGCCATATCATTCTGGACAGGTGATCCTGGGGTGTATAAGAAAGCAGGCTGAGCAAGCCTTGAGGAGCCAGCCCAGAAACGGCACTCCGTCAGCTCCCGCCTCCAGGTTCCCGCCTTGAGTTCCTGTCTTGATTTTCCTTGGCCATGGAGTGTATGTAGCCTGAAAGTTCTAAGTAAATCCTTCCCTCCCCAGAGTGTTTTATCACAGCAATAGGAAGCAAATTAAGACTGATATACTGGAGAACTACGTGATAAGGGGTTAACTCCCCAAGACGTAAGAAATTCAAAGAACTTAATAATAAGAAAACCAAACAACCTGATTGGAAAATGGGGTGGGAGTTGAAGCGACGTTTCTCAAAGACACGAATGACCATCACCGATCGCCAGGGAAAACAAGTTATAGCTGTGGTAAGATTCTACATCTGTAGGAGGAGCTGTTGTTGAACCAGGTATGGAAGGTCCACGCCTGGAACCCCAGGCCCAGTTCTTGGAAAGTTAGGCAGGAAGCTTCAGAGTTTAAGGCTAGCCTGGGCTACCTAGAGAGATCTTGAGTAAGAGAGAGAATGGCTATTACAAACAACAAACAACAATAACAAAAACCCTGAAAACCCTGTTCTGATGAGGATGTGTGGGTAGGGAACCTTGGGCTTTGTTGGTGTGCGTGTAAATTAGTACGGTGTTATAGAAAACAGTATGGCAGGTCCTTAAAAATTTAAAAGCCATTTGACCCAGGAATTCCAGGTATAGTCAGAGCAGGTAAACTCAGCATGCTGAGTTCATTTATTAATATTAACTGGCACTTAATATTTTACACTTATTTATTCTGTGTATGGGCACTTGGGTGCTATGGCACTTCCTGTGGATACAGGAACTCATCGGTGTCTGTTCTCTCCTCATGAGTATTCAGGGATGGAGCTCAGACTGTCAGTGGCAGGTGCCTTTGCTCACTGAGCCATCTCACCAGGCCAACATCTGTGATCCTACTCACAACATCCAAGAGACAGAAGCAAATTAAGTGTTCATCTGTGGATGAATCGATAGATAAGGGGACCATTTCAACTGCTGAATCTGATGGAACCTAAACCTTATGAACCTGAAGGACACTATGCTAAGTGGAATAGGAAAAACAGACAAATATTGTGATCTCACTCGTACGCGCAGGTTTGTGTGTGTGTGTGTGTGTGTGTGTGTGTGTGTGTGATTCAGAGGCTGTAAATTTGGCCAGAATGGAGGAAAAGGCAGGCTGAAGCCAAAGCAGAAACCTTGTCCCTAGTTTTAGGAAACAACTGAAGTGCATTAGCCGATGCCTTCTTCGAGAAACCCGATAAGGCAGAAGCACTGTAGAAGATGAGCTAACCAAATGGGATGTAATTAGTCTGGTGTCTAGGATTTGTGGGCGAATTTTTGAATGTAGAGATTTCATTCAATGATACAAGATGTCTATGGAGTCACGGAGAGCAAAGGACTCTGTGAGGCCCCTAGAGCTGGGGTTAGGGGAGTAAAAGCTGAGATGGTGGCTCATGCCTGAAATCCCAGCATTTCAGAGTCGGAGGCAGGAGGATCACTGAATGTTCAACATCAGCCTGGACTAGATACTAAATTCAAGGCTAGCTGGATTTACACAGTTAAGTCCCAATATTGCGTGGTCTACAGAACAACCTTGTCTCAAAACAACCACAAACCGAGTCCAAATCAAGAACAACAGAGCCCACTCCCTCCATCTGTAAAAGAAGATAAGAGTTACTTGTTTGGACCCAGGCATAGTGGCCCAGATCTGGGAGTCCAGGTCTTGCTAGCTATGACAAAGGACTCTGGGTTTGAGGGCAGTCTGAATATGGAGAACTCCAGACTTGCCTGATCTACGGAGGAAGACCTTGCCTCAATTTCCCACCTTCAGGGGTGGTGGTGAAGGGCTTGAGTGGTTGGCTAACATGCATATTCTGAGGCTAGACCAGAGCTGGGGACCCTAGATCTCAACAGATGAGCCTTTCCTCCCTCCTCCTGCCATTATTTAATTAAGGTGTGTTTACAAGGGTGCTGAGTGGACAGATTAGAATTAAAGCAAAGCCCCAAATCTTATTTGGGGTTGTTCAAAAGTCTGTTAATGAAGTCTGTTCAAAGTCTGCTCTTCTTTCTAAGTGCAAGGCTACAGGTGAGAGGCTTGGGCAGATAAAGTAGAAAAGAAGTGAATTTCACTGAAAGCCAGTCACAGATTTTACTAGAATTTGGCGCAATAATTCACTGAAGTAGATTAAGGTCTACCGGGAGAGATATACATGGATACCTTTAACCGGTACAAGGAGAACCCAGTGGTCCCCCAGCTTGGCTGCTGCAGAAAGGATTGGAAATGATTACAAATTACAGATTCCGAATGCTACACATGAAGGAAGCCAGGCATGTGCCTCATATCTGTATTCCCAACGCTTGGGAGGTGGAGGCAGGAGAATCAGGAGTACAGGGCTAGCCTTAGCTACACTGCAAGCCTGAGGCCAACCTAGGATATATGAAATCCTGTTTAAAACAAAACAAAACAAAACAAAACACAATATCAATATTTGTGTAATTCTGGGGCAGGACCCAACCATCTGTACATACTTTTTCTTCTTTTTCTTTCCTTTGGGCTGGAGAAATGACTCAGCAGTTAAGAGCCCTGGCTGTTTACCTTTTCCTGTTTGGCTGAGACTTGGCATGACTAGGGACAAGGGCGGGATGAAAGAACAAACAAAAGCTGGAATCAGGTGGGCTGTACGCACTGGGATGGAGCTGCACCAACCACGCAGCGGCTTAGAACCTCAGCGTGATTCCTGTGTGCAGTGCAGAGAGGAGTTAGCTAGGCTAGGGTAGGAGGTCTCTCTGGGCAGCTGTTTTCAGGCTGTAAATACCAAGGAGGAGGAAGCTACAATTGTTTGCCTTTTCACACTGGGCAGTTGTTCATAAATGATCATACTTATACACATATATACACAGAGCATCCATCAACATAAAATCACAATAAACATATAAATATAATATAAATATAAAATAAACACACACACATATTATATACCGGAGGAAATATCCTCCAGTTTTCCCCATACACCCCCAAGCCATCCCACAATGAACTTCATGTCTTTCTCTTTAAATACTCATTAAATCTAGCTAATGCTGCCTATAAATGCACGGGTATGAGAGCATCCACCAGAGCGTGGAATTGCTATCATCGGCCCCACTCATTACAAAGAATGATTCTCTTTCCCCAGAAACTAACAGCTGCCCATAGCTGCTCAGTATGGGTGGGGCCCAGAGACCGTCTATCCTGTTTATGCTGGGATTTTGGCTAGCATTGTCTTGGGCTATCAGTTATGAACGCACAGCGCTGCAGTGGCTTGCCGCTATATGCGCATATTCTTTCAGTTAATAAATGAAAGCGATGTAGCAACCAGATGCAGTGAAGTGTGGGTTGAAAGGGAACTAAAGCATAGTCATGACCCAACCGGGAAACATTTTATGGACTAGGTGTGGATTTCAAACATTTTATGGACTAGGCGTGGAATGCAAATGTTTTATGGACTAGGTGAGAGTTTTAGGTGTGACGTCCGTGCTCTGGGTAGTGGAACCGTGGCCTCGTTCGTGAGAGGGTAGAGAAGTCTTTGGGGGTGAAGTTCACGGCATCCGCACACGGGTCCCAGATGTTTAGTAGGAGGTGGCTGTAGTGAGCCGGACAGGATCGCCATTACAAGATGGCGCCGACATCCTGTCTTGTTGGTTATAAACAACTCCATATTTGGCTAGGGCTTTGAGAGCTGCGCGTCCCCGCTTCCCGCATGCGCAGAGGATGAGGATCCTTGAGCCTATCCCGATGCGGTCTGGTGTCAGCTGTTGGTGGCAGCCAATCACAGGGCTACCCGTGTGCCAATTCCCTATTTAAGCGGCTGCCTTAGTGCACCCCGGTCCCTTCGCTTCCTGCTGCCTCTCCCATCTGCTCCCTGTTCCTCGTTTTCCCGCCCCTCATTCCATGCTCCCCATCAATCAAGGGCACTCCAGTAAAAGCGTGATCTGAGTGGAATCCTGGTGTGGTGGTCATTCTTCATCGCCGGTCGAGAGGTCCGCCACAGCTGGTGCCGAAACCCGGGAACTTCGGTCGCCAGGCGAAGGGCCGAAGAGGATTCTGAACTCAACACGCGGAGTGGCGACGTCGGTAAGTTTCTCCCAGTATGCTAATTTCAGTCTCCCCAAGTATGCTGTTTGTGGGAGTGGGTTCTTGGGTGTTTGGTCTCGTGTTCGTGGCGTTTGTGATGTTTATACTGGCCTGCTGTCTCTGGTTGCACTGCCGTAAGTCCGGCCACAACCTCGGGGCGGGGAACAAAGTTGACGTTCCGAGAGAGGGGCGAAAGGCCCGCATTAAACACAAGAACAGTTTTTCAGATTCAAAGGGAGGAAACTTGAAAAGGCCTAAAAGAAAAAAAGTAAGAGAAAAGGATCCTGGTACAAACCTCTCTAAAAGAGAGGCTAATGAGAAGGGGAGAAGTCCCCTCTATCCAACGCTCGAGGAATTTGCGAGCCTGGATCGGTCTGAGGAGGAGGTAGACCCTCAGGAGGATGAAGATCTGGAGAAAACCTCCGCTGACTATGAGGAGGAAGGATATGGATGGAGGCGGCCCCCTGCACATAATGAGTCAGCGGGGGTGGGTGTGGGCCCATTGGCGCCACGGGAACCATGCCCGCCCCCTGTGCTTCCATCCTATTCACAAGGGAGAGGGGGATGCCATTTTATTAAAAGAGATACATGGGCGCGTCTAGCGTCTGCATTTCCAGTTTTTGAAGACCCGCAGACTAATGAGAGACATTATGAGCCTGTATCTTATAAACAGTTAATATTCTTCTGGTTCGAGTTACCAAGGCCTCCAGATTTTGTAGAATGTGAACAGCTGTGGCTCCAAGATACAAAGCTACAAACACAGGACCTGCCTTGAGGACTGACAGGCTAGAACGCTAGGCCACTCCCAGTGTGGGCCTCAGGGCATAGCGCAGCAAGACCCTGGTGAGGCTCACCAGCTTGAACCTCTGTCCTAGCCCGGAGCAACCAGCCTGGATCAGGTCGGCACAACTGCTCCGCTCAGCCACACCTCCAAGCAAGGCTGAGCACATGTTCTTGTGGTTAAACAACTATGTATTTAGGCCCAAAAGGGGTATTGCTAAGTTTTGAGGTAAATATTTGCCTAATTTTAAAAGATAGACCTAATGGGAGACTCCCAGTGCTGGGGAGACTCTCACTAAGGTCTAGGGATGGCGCGGGCCCCCACATGGCTCGCCGGAGACCGTCCTTGCTGAGGTCACATAGCTTTGATTGGCGGGGGAGGAGTTCGACCCCTAGTGACCTGGGGAAAGAATTTTTAAGAGGCCACAGCCCTATAGTCAGGGAGGGTCATAAATACCAAAAATCCAATGGTGGTCGCAGGGGGACTCCCTGCCTCGCGACCACTCCCAAGGTCGTAATCAACTAGTTCCTAAAACACAGCAAGCTGATAATCACAAGGAGAAAACTCACTGTTTATCGGGATTGTTATCAGGATTGCAGTCTGGTTTTGTCTTCAGCTAGTTCCTGATGCAGGGTCGCTGAAGCGGCTAGTCCTGGATTTTTGGTTCTTCTCTTCCTGCTGGAGGAGTCTAGATTTGTTCAGGTTTTTCAATACGATGTGTGATCCAAAGATGGCTGTGTCGGTTTACACTTCCAGCAATAAGGTTTTTTCTTTACCCACATTTTCTTAAGCATAAATTGTTAGCAATAATTTTTAATCTTGGTCATTTTTATAAGGATAAGGTAAAATCTCAGAGTTTTGGTTTACATTTCTCTGAGGGCTAAAGGTTGTTATGTTTAAACATTTTTTAAATGTCTCAGTCATTTTTAAGTTTGTCTATTGAAAATTTTCAGTTTAGGTCTATAATAAGTAAAGATCTTTTCCCACTCTAGCCTTGTTATACAAAAGCTTCTCAATTCAAGAGATATAATTTATGGTTTCTCACAATGTTTGTGCCACTAAGGCTATGTTTAAGATATGACAAAGTGTGCTTCAAAAATTTTTCTCTGTAAGATTCAACATAATTTTTATATGCTAAGGCCTTTGGCTCATTTAAACTTAAATTTTGTACATGGAGATGGATGTAGATCTATTTTCATTTTTCTACGCCGTTGGGGCCTGGTCTTGGCACCCGATGAGATCCAAGAGACTACTACTATAAAATTTCTGGGGGCAATTATATCCCCTTTGACGGTGACCCCTCAAAAGATTTCCATTCGCACCCATCATTTGAGGACACTTAATGATTTTCAACAATTATTGGGGGATATTAATTGGATTAGGGGGTATTTAAACATCCCCCGGGCAAAGTTGTTGCCCTTGTTTTCTATTTTGGAAGGTGATCCAAATGTTAACTTGGACAGAACTTTGACCCCCTTGGCTGAAAAGGCTTTAAAACAGGTGGAGAAAGCAATGACTAAGGCACAATTGTGCCGAGTCGATCCTGCTTTGCCCATATTCTTATGCATCTTAAAAACTACACATTACCCTACTGGGGTGCTATGGCAAGATGGCCCTTTATGGTGGTTCCATGGTAATTCTTCAGGTACCAAAGCTATTCAATATTATCCTGAGTTGGTTGCTTCTCAAGCGGTATTGGGGATAAAACATTGCTTAACATCTTTTGCAACCATGCCAGATAAATTAATTATTCCCTATACCAAGGGACAGGTGGAGACATTGGCAGCTACAGTAAATGAATGGGCTGTTTTGGTTTGCGCTTTTCCTAACCTTATTGATAATCATTATCCAAGACATCCCATATTGAATTTTGTGGAAAGGAACTTAGTGTATTTTCCTAAGGTTACCTTTAAAAAGCCCATTAATATGGCCTTGACTGTTTTTACTGATGGCTCCAAAACTGGCAAAGGTGCCATAGTAATTCAAGGTAGGGAACCCATTTTGCTTGATTTTCGACCTGATTCCCCACAAGTCACGGAATGTATGACCGTGCTGGAAGTTTTTTAAAGATTTTCAGAACCCTTCAATTTATTTTCAGATTCTAAATATGTGGTGAATGCTGTTGCCTCGTTGGAGGTGGCCGCCTTTGTTAGAAATTCAAGTACAGTTTCCAATATTTTATGTCAAATTCAAGCGTGCATTTTACAAAGGGATAATCCCTTTTTCATTGGACATATTCGGGCTCATACTTTGCTTACAGGACCCATGTCTGAGGCCAATGATTTGGCTGACTGCCTTACCCGGTCCATGGCTTTGGTCGTCTCGGACCCTGTAGAATTAGCACAAGATTTTCATAAGCTTTGGCATGTGCCTGCCAATACCCTTAGAAAAAATTTCATATTTCCAGACAGATAGCCAGAGATATAGTTAAAGCCTGTTCTTCATGTGTGACCTTTTTATACCCTCCTAATGTTGGGGTCAACCCTAGAGGGCTGCAACCTAACGCGTTGTGGCAAATGGATGTTACCCATCTGCCTGATTTTGGCAAATTAAAATATTTACATGTATCAATGGATACCTTTTCTGGCATTATTCATGCCACGCCCCTAGCGGGAGAAAAGGTGACTCCTGTAAAAACCCATTGCCTTGAGGCCTGGGCTGCCTGGGGAAAACCCCTACGCCTGAAGACAGACAATGGCCCGGCATATACCTCCCATGGATTTAGTGCCTTTTGCGCACAGCTCCAAGTGACCCACATTACGGGTCTTCCATACAATCCACAAGGACAAGGTATTGTGGAGAGAGCCAACAAAAATATTAAAGAAATTCTACAAAAACAAAAAGGGGAAATAGCTGAATCCGCTTCCCCCAGGAAAAGAATCTCCCTTGCTCTCTTCACACTTAATTTTTTAAACCTGAATGAGTCGGGTACTGCAGCAGCTGAAAAGCATGCAGCAGGCCCTATGGAACAAAAGAAATATGTGATGTGAAAAGATATATTGGATAACAAATGGTATGGACCGGATCTTGCGGTGGCAAGATCCAGGGGAGCTGTATGTGTTTTTCCACAGGGCCAAGAGGCTCCACTTTGGGTTCCGAGCCGGCTGACACGCATGATCAAGGAAGTTCCTAAGAAAGAGGCTAAGTCGCTGGAGAAAGTTCCTGCTAACATCCCTGATGACGTGGATCCAGGAAAAGGTGGAGCACAAAAGGAAAAGCCTGTCAGCCTTCCCAAAGGCGATGCCCGTTCGCCATGATTTCCCCAGATTTTTACCACCGATAAAAACCTTGAGTTATAAGTCTAAAGTGGCCCTTTTAGGAAAAGCACGTAACATTACAGAGAAAGGGTCCCTGTGCTTTCAGTTCCATGGGCATGTTTTTTGGCAAGCTGCCTGGGTGGCTATGTGTTGTGCCTGTGGTTGGTTTGCTGCCTTCGAGCCCAGACCAATAGGGATAAGGCTATATTGGGATAAGGTTTTAATCTCTCAGGCTTTAGCTACCCTGGAGTGTGGCTCCTTCCCCCAGATATGGCTGTCAGCACTAAGAGACGCTTAGGGCTTCCATCCTGCACAGCCTTTGCACCCCATGGGATCTGTTGATTGATCCATTGCACTTGGGTAGGTGTGCGGATGTAGGTTCCTCCTGCACAGCCTTTGCACCCCATGGGATCTGTCGATCCATTACACTTGGGAAGGTGTGTGGTTGTAGGTTCCTGCGACACAGCCTTTGCACCCCCGGGGTTCCTCGAGTACCCATTGCACAGGGGAAGGTGTGTCCATGGAAAATATCTTCCATCCTCGATCGACCAACACATCATGAGGTGGGGGTCAGATTGGATGACGTTAGTCCTGCGCTCATTGCTTACAAACAATAAGGGGGAATTGTAGTGAGCCGGACAGGATCGCCATTACAAGATGGCGCCGACATCCTGTCTTGTTGGTTATAAACAACTCCATATTTGGCTAGGGCTTTGAGAGCTGCGCGTCCCCGCTTCCCGCATGCGCAGAGGATGAGGATCCTTGAGCCTATCCCGATGCGGTCTGGTGTCAGCTGTTGGTGGCAGCCAATCACAGGGCTACCCGTGTGCCAATTCCCTATTTAAGCGGCTGCCTTAGTGCACCCCCCCCCCCCCCCCCCCCCGGTCCCTTCGCTTCCTGCTGCCTCTCCCATCTGCTCCCTGTTCCTCGTTTTCCCGCCCCTCATTCCATGCTCCCCATCAATCAAGGGCACTCCAATAAAAGCGTGATCTGAGTGAAATCCTGGTGTGGTGGTCATTCTTCATCGCCGGTCGAGAGGTCCGCCACAGGTGGCATGTGCAGAGAGGTAGGTGGAAGGGGCAAGGTGTTAAAAGTCACGAACCTGGCTGACAAGTGTGTTGGTGGCCACTGCTTTATTCTGGAAACTCATCTATATTAAAAAATGCTCAAGCTTAAAAAACAGTTGTTTATAAGAATGAACAAAGGATGCAGCCTGGGCCTCAGCCTCCATCCTGTGGTACTATAGGGGTGGGTAGCCTTAGCAGAGAGATCCAAATGACAATCTTAGAGAAGTCACTGTGACCTGTGACTGGGCTCCTCCACCCACTTTCTGGTATGCTAACTATGAAAGTTGAGACTGTACGCGGCTCTCACAGGCACAGGTGGGTTCAGGTAGGGTAATTCTTGGCCACCAACCCGGAACATAGCAGATGTCCCTTCCACTTAATAAAGAATGTTGGCCTAAAAATAAGCGATGTTATTATGGGAATAACTGAATCTATTTGAATTTATTTTGAAAACAAGCATGTCCTAAATTTTGTGTGAAATGAGTTTGTAGAGTCAAGAAATAATTTTGATGTACCAATGAAATATAGATTCTTTATTGTCTGTAACATACCTAATCTTTGTCACAGACAGCCAGGGTCCTTGGGTCACTTACTGTACAGAGCTAAAAATGTCTTTAACTCATGAGTGGCCATGATGGAAATCCTTCCTGGTTTAAGTTGCCTGTGATTCAGAGTCTTTCTGTAATTTCAGACTCTATGAAGAAAAGAGTAGATGATGATCTGATATGAAAAGCTGTGAGTGGTTGGCTAAGTCCAGTTTTGAATCTGGTCCCTGCCACGGAATTTTCTCCAACCAATGGGTCAAGCTCACCCGAGGGAGGCAGAAGTCTCCAGTGGGTTTCTACATGGCCTATAAATTTGCCTTTTCCATTGCCATCAGAACAGGCTTGGGCTCACCTACTCACATAGAACACACATGAGTCCCCCGGTCATTATAGTGTGGGTCCTCCTAGGACAGGTGTCAATCAGGCCACCCCAGATAGTGGGGCAAGCATGGCTGAGATCCCCCCACCACACCCATGACCTGTGGAACATTTGAGGTGGTGCCTAGCCAGCAGAAGCAGGGTCCTACGAGAAGGCTTGTGAAGGTTCCTCCTGCCGCTGGTTTTGCCCTTGCTTTCCATCTCTCTATGTGCTGTGCTGTGAACAGCCTCCGCCACACTATCCTGCCTCCTGGAACTGATCTGACCTACCTCACCATGCCTCTCCAAAGTGATGGAGCAAAAAAATTCTGAAACTCTTAGTCAAATTAAATCTTCCCCAGGGTTGGAGAGATGGCTCTGCTGGGAAGAGCGCTTGCTGCTCTTTCAGAGGACCTGATTTGCTTCCCAAGACCCATATTGGGCAGCTCACATCGGCTTCCAAGTCTGGCTCTATGGGATTTGATGTTCTCTTCTGGCCTCTGGGGGCACCTGTACACATGACATATATACTTATGTATACACACACATGCACTCACGGAAGCTGGAAGCCTGAAACTTACTGCACAGCCTGCAGACAGCTCAGCATGCTGGGGCGTGTCCTTTCCAGGGGGTTCAGTTATTCTGAGCCTCTTGTCTCTGCAATCCTTACTGCTTACATGTGGTTGGGGAGGGAGGAGCCTAGTGAATGTGGTCAGTTTCAGGGACTTCCTGAAATCATTGAGTTGTTTTCTTCTTAAGCTTAATGAGCTTCCCCGAAGGGTGGAATACATCCCCTCCCCTTTATCACTTTGTGTCTTCAACTTCCCTCCAACCGGGAAGGTTTTCGTCTTAGAGGATGCTGCTGTTCAACAGACTGGCACATGTCTGTCTACTCGCAATACAATCACCATGTCTCAGAAGGGCAGTTCTGCCTCCAGGGGCGTTTTGGAAATGTCTGCAGTCAGAGATAAATGTAGAGGACTTTAAAGATTGGTTAAGAATTTTGGATTTTACTGTGACTGACATAGAGAGCCATTTGAGAGTTTTGAGTATTCTTGACTGATCTTAGGGAGCTCTGTGGTTATCCAAGGGAGAAGAGCCTGGGGTCAGGGAGATAAGAGACAGTGACGCGCTATTCACCTCTGAAAGTATTTGTAAGATAGAGCCACCAGGACTTGCTAAAGGATGCGAGAAGTCTAGGGATAAAGAAGACTGATTGGAGCATGGGCCCTTGGAGAGAGGGAAACGATATTTAGCGGATACAGGGAGGTCGAGTTGCACAGGGATTTCTGGAGGGTGGGAAGGGAGAGTAGAAATTGAGCCAAGAGTTTATTAGTCCTGAAATGGCTATCTAGTCATCTGGCTGGAGATGCTGAGCTAGCATTTGAAGTCTTTCTAGAGGCAGGAAGAAGGTCTTTCCCGGCGTCTCACTGAACTATTCCTCATGGTAGGATTCTGAGCCATGTTGGTTCCCCTCTGTGATGCAGACTGAGGGGCGTTAGTATCTGAACTGTTGATACTGCAAGAGAAAGAGGTGAAGTCTCACACTAGCAATGAAATACATTTCTTAGCCAAAATCAGTCATGTGGTCATGATGAATTTTTAAGAGGATGAGGAAGGGCTGTTGATGTTTGGGAAAGGAGGACCAGAAATATGGGTAAATAACACTAGCACCTACTGGATATAGAGATATAGGACAGACTCACTGGCACACAGGATTTAAAGCTGTGGGACTGGCCGAGGTGACCAGGAAGTATAGAGACATAGGAAGTTCAAAGACAGAACCCTAGGGAACCTCAATGTCTAGAGCTCATGAATTCAGTTGATATGATAACCTTTAAACAATCGCTCTGTTCCCTTTGGCTACACAAACAATCCTAACTCTAGGATGAAGCAATAAGACAAAAACCTTGATAAGCTATGTAGGTATAACATTTTAATCTCCGTGTTACTCATAAGGATCTCTCTCTCCATTACTCCATTATGTGGTACCTACACACATGTGTATGCATAGGTATGTGCTTCTGTGTGTATGTGCAGAAGTCAGAGAGGGGATATTGGGTAGCCTCTCTTACTCTCCATCTTGTTACTCTGAGGCGGTATCTCTCTTTGAACCCAGAGTTCATGTTTTTGGCTAAGCTGGCAGCTGGCAAGCCTATGAGCCCTTCTGTCTTTGTTCTCCACAGCACTGGGGATACAGGTTTGTGCAAGATCATTATCCCTTTGTTATGTGGATTCTGAGATCTGAACCCAGGTCCAAATAGTTCCTCAGTAAGTGCGCTAAAGCACTGAGTCATGTTTCCAGCCCCTGGTTGTTGTTTTTTAAATTGAGGCTTTAAATTATTAAGACAACCTGGTTTACTTATAACATGCGTAAATCGACTTTCCTAGAATCACTCACTAGATTTCCACGTCTGCTTTGGATGTTTGAAGTTCTTTCAGATAATTCGGTAATGTTATATTTGTGTATGTGATTTGAAATCTCTAAAGGAATTTAATCAGGCTTGTGAAGTGTTGACTATTTTAGGTGCGAAATCTGTCAAATGTCAAAGCTTATTAAGTATAAACTAAAATTAATGTGGAAATGTGTTTTATGTTAGCACAAGACATTGCTAGGTCTATAAATAAATAACGCTGCAGGCTGAACTTCAAGGCTTTTAAAAGCACTAACTAATATCAAGCGTTCTTTCCCATGGAGTATTCCCACCCAGTGAGAAGCTCACCCGGTACCTCTCTCCCCGCCATGGCAACATCAGAAGAGCAACAAGCCAACCTATGGGGATGCAGGACCCCTTGGACACTTGCTACCCTACTTCTGAGGTGCTGTTCAACATCGCTTTGTTGTTAGTCACTGTTCTGTCTGTCTCCTGATGGGTGGAGGGCTTTTTCTGACGGATTGAGACCGAACTAATTAAGCATTTTGAATATTACTGGCGTGTTCCATGCTGTGTCCTCTACCTTCAAATCCCCATGCATTTGAGGTCATTATTATCCTTGCCAGAGAGGCCTCCTTTTGATAGTGCTCTCCCAATAGCCTTGGGTCTGCTCCTGTTCAGGAACTACTGAGTCCCCCATCTTTTTGGGAGTAAGGGAGTCAACGGTAAGTCCTTTTTCCGGGACCCTGTGACATCCACCTTCCAGTTCTTAGCACTTTGCAAAGCTGTTGGGAACACTGTTAGCACTATTAATGACCTGAGGTGATTGGGCAGTGTAGCAGGATTGTATAATGGCTTCCTGTCCCGCCCTCTATATGGATACCGTGGTGATCATGGCAGTGTGTGTAGCTAGAGGGTGTGGTGTTTATTGGCCAGTGGAAATGTGGTGTGGCTGGGTTTGAATGGGGCAGCAGTGTGGAATGAGGAGGGAGAGGTGCTCTGCCCTTTGCATCACACCTGTGCGCTGTAATCTTGGGCTCATTTAATCGTTGGATGTCATGTTTCCTCTACAAACTATAGCTAACAGAGGATCAAATGAGGCAGGCACATAAACTAATCACCGTGCTTTTTTTCCTTTTATGAACTAAGGTCTTGCTGTGGTCTGGCTGGGTAGCTACAGGATCCTAGATAGCCTCCTTGAACATGATAAAATGCTTAGTAAGTATTAAATAATTCTATTCTTTTATTATTATTTTCTGTCATCTATTTGAGTTACTTCAATTTGACTAGTAGGCCAGTATAAAGGGGGTGGGGGAACCCATATCCGGATTCTTCTATTCAAGGAAAAGACATTTGAATTCTGGTTCATAATTCACTTGAATAAGGCAAGGAAGAATCCAAGAAAGCCTTACTGTGTGATGGGGAAATTTTCAGATCTAATGCCTCCCTTTCTTTTTCTAATTCCTTGTGTTTCAGCCAAGTCTTCCTGAACTCTCACAGCCCTGATGAATGCTGGGGATGAATCACCAGGCACAGGCAGGCCCTTGCAAGAGACAGGAGCTCAAAACTCAAGCTTCACCATGGAAGGTCACTGCTGTTTATTGGGAAGAGGTTTGGGTGTTTAGCCTTGTTGGCAGCTGGTCTTGGTCCTTGGCAAGCATCTCTTGTGAGTTTGGCATGTGGCAGAAGTAGGCAGGTTCTCTTGATTCCTCTCTCTACATCCTCCTCCCACGCCCGTAGCTGGCACGAAGGTTGCAAGTCTCTCTTTTAAGCCACTTGCATGTTTAGACTTCCCAAGTCATGCTGACTAAGCTACTATTAAAACCCAGGGCCACACCCAGTCCCCCGATCCTTACCTGGACATGAAAAACACAGGGAAGTCATTTGGCAGTGTGTACAAAGCAATCCATCTGCATAGGAGGCAAAGTCAGCATCAATATTGTTGAGTCATGGTGATAATGTGTATCCTTAGCCTAATATGCTGAGAATGGGCCCTTCTTTAAATCCATGGCTCCTGTCTCATCATTAATCAAACAGCAGACATATCCCAAATGAGGGGATGCAAAAGGCAAAATCAGTGCCCAAAGACATAAAAAATTATGGAAAATCTGAGAAATTGTCATAGCCAAGGGGGGGGGGGCTTCAGGAGATGTACTGAGCAAATGTATAGGGTGGGATCCCAAACTGGACCCTGCAGCCGGAAGGAGCGTTGAGTCTAATAGAAGGATGTGCAAATCCAGTATGGGATACAGTCGCTGCGGGCTCGTCAACTGTGAAAAGGAGATCATACCGACATGAGATGTTGATGACAGGGAAGTGGCTGTGGGAGTATGGGTATTCTTTGTATTGTTTTGGCAATTTTTAAATGAATCCAAAAGCATCCTAACATTGAAACACTTGTTTTCAAAACTCTATGCCGGAGAAATTGACAGTGCCGCACCTTGGCCTGTTGACTGTGGTTGTCACTGGGAACAGGACGGAGGTGAGGGTTGAGAGCCCCTCATGGTGTTGGACAGAGTGAAGAGACAAGAGAGGAGGAGATAGGCAGGCTCTGTCCTGCAAAGAGGACTGGACATACTTCTACTATAGCTGGCTTTCTTTCAATGCACATGACCTACTTTCATAATCTGATTTTTTTATGAATTAAAACAACATACGAGATCTGGATGTAGCTGTGGATCCCTGTAATCCCAGCACTTGCAATGTGGAGGCAGGAAGATCAGAAGTTCAAGGCCACCCTGGGTCAAGGGAGACTCTGTCTTTAAACAAAGCAAAATTAAGATTAACCCAAAAAGTAACTTCAAGGTTTTCTTTTTACTACTCTTTTAGAGTAAATATTTTCACTTAATTTTAGAGTACAAACTGTATTTTAGTTTTGAACCTATGGCTTCCTACTTAGACTGCTAATTTTCACATCTGAATTCCAAGTGAATAAATCGAAGCACACTAACCTCTTACTGGATAACTCTTCCCACAATATGACCCAGGCTGGCTACAAACTCAAGATCCTCTTGCCCATGCTTCTGAATGTGGCACTCTGAGCTAGCTGGGCCATCACATCTGATTTCATAGCATTTAGTTTAGTTTTGTTTTAAACAGCACATGGTCTGACATAGAAGGGCTTCTTGGGAAAGCTGCCTGCACACATGTGTCTTGTGACACTGAGATTGAACACAGACACTCACACATGCTAGACAAGTCGCTCTACCATCGAGCTTTCCCCAGCCTGGAATAGATTCTTTCCCTTAGTACAGACTCGGGCGCCTTCGGCAGTCACAGCCTTTACTCGTTTGATCAATGCTGGTCCACTTCCTGCATGAAATTGGTTCCCTTTGCCTGCATTCAATTCTAAATGATTTCATTTCTTAATTAATTTATTTTTAATGTGTATGTGTGTTTTACCTGCATGTTACAGTGTATGTGCCCCACATAAATGCGATGCCTGAAGAGGCCAGAGAGGGCATCAGCTCCCCCTGGAAACTGGAATTATAGTCAGTTGTGAGCCTCACGTGGGTACTGGGAATTGAACCCAAGTCTTCTGCAAGTGCAGCCAGGACTCTCAATCTCTGAGCTATCTCAGCCACTAAATTATTTTATTTTTAAAATAAATAAAAAGATATGGCCTGTTACTTATAAAAATACTACAAGCTTGTTATAAAGATATAAAAAGCATTGCCAATATTTTTATTTTAGCTTGCAAAGGTCCACCCACACAGAAAACAATGACCTTATTTATCTTCTTGTATTTCATCAATTCATGTGTATATGTATAATAGATAAAAAGCACACATAAAGATTATCAGCCGTCGACATAACCTTCCCTCCCTCCCTGTCTCTTAAAACCCAGGCCTTGGTGCATGCATTCTACCGCTGAGCCATAATCCCAGCTCCGCCCATGGACATCTGAAAACACATTTTGTTAGGAAACTCCTCTTTTGTACCGCAGGTCGGCTTAAGAAAAGGCAGATGAGGCAACTTGGCCAATAAGAGGCTTAAAAATAAGTCCACTGGTAACTTCTGGGAAATCCTCCTCGTCCCACGAGGAAGAAGCAGTTGCTGGTCCTCCGCTGGATGCTGCTTGATCTGAACTGCATCGTGTTTATATGGGAAACCCATCCGACTTGTTGAATACAGACTTCTTGTAAGGATGTGGTTGAAGATGATTCATGTTGATAAAATGTGGTCTTCCTAATTCTGCAACTAAGAACATCTTGGTGTGTGAGCAGTCTTTGAAGAGTCTAATCTCATTGCCTAGGTCGATTGCTTTGTTGAATGGAGCTCTCCAGTCCTTAAAACTGAATGCTCCTGGGTGTTTAATAGACTAGGTTATAACCTGGGTCCTGGCTGCTCTAACAAGCCAGGCTTGCAAACCTATAGCAATCAGCCAGCTAAAGTGGCAACGACAGAAAGAAATGGAGAAGGGAGACCTTCCAATGCAGCCTCATTGGGATGGGAGACAAACAAAGAGGCCCAGTGACCCCACCATGCTCTATGGGAAGGTTCCATGAACATAAGCTGTATCCTGTTGAGTGTGAGAGAGGTGTGTGGAACTAAGTAGTCTGGGTCCCAATGGGCTCCTGCCCTCCACTGACCCTTAAGTGTCTCAGCACGGGTCTGTCTCTTCAGCAAGATTGTCCGATAAGTTGTCGTAACTGTGACATCTCTGGTTCTTTCTCTGGCTGCCCCCAGACTTCAGCCTTTCCCTCCTCCAGAATAAGGGAATTTTAGTTCTTTGAGAACCATTGTTCTGAATCTCTGCTAGTACAAGTGTCTTATTTAAAATACCTTTTCTCCTGTCATAGCAGTTATATAACCCTTTGTCTCTAGAGATCCCACACTAATGCAGTTATCTTTCCACATTGATACATAAGTGCTTATACTTTGCTAATTTGCAATAATAATTGCTCTGGGTGATTCATCTCGCTAGTACACATTTAAATTTTTAAATTATTGTTCCATGTGCACGCAAGCGTGTGTGGTGTGTGTGAGCGTGGGTGCCGGTGCCGTGGTTCACACATGCATATCTGAGACAAGTTTATGGAGATTTTTTCCTTCCATCTTTATGTGTGGGCAGGGATTGCGCTCAGGTCTCCAGTATTACACAGCCTTTTCCCGCTGAGCCATCTCACCCGTCCTCTCTCACACACGTTTAATCCATCCGGTCTATTCTTTCTGACAGTTCTATCATCCCCTGTTGGTTTTAGAAGAAGAGTTTTGTAAGCTTTCACTTCTCAAATCTTTTTTTTTCTCTTTGCTTGCAAGATTTTATAATATAGTAATTGTCAAGTCAACAAATCCATAGATGAAAGACACCAAGAGTCCTTAGTGAATAAAGGAACTTTGTGTCAAGCGTGATGGCCTGAGGTCAGTCCTTGGAACCCCCCTGGTGGAAGGGGAGAGCCGTCTCCCAGAAGTTGTCCTCTGGCATGTGTGCCGTCACGCGTATGT